GAATGGGAACAGGGATGGGAATGGGGATGGGGCGGGAATGGGATGGGATGGGATGGGATGGGATGGGATGGGATGGGATGGGATGGGATGGGATGGGATGGGATGGGATGGGATGAGCAGGACCGCTGCTCCCAGCGCCCCAGGCCAGCCCTGGCTAGTGCCGGGTGCCCCGCGCTGGCCCAGCTCTGCCTCCCCATGGCGCAGGCAGCTCCGACGGGCTCTGCTGCCGCCTGGGCAAGCCCTGCCGGACGCAGAAGCCGCAGAAGCCCTGGTGGCAGGACGAGTGGGAGGTGCCGCGGGAGTCGCTGAAGCTGGTGGAGAAGCTGGGAGCGGGACAGTTCGGAGAGGTCTGGATGGGTGAGTCAGGGTGAAAGTGGGACACCAGAGCGAGCAGCGGGATCCTCCAGCCGGGAAGGATCCAGCTGGGATCTCACGTGGAGCAGCCAGCACAGCCCAAGGTGTGGCACTGTGGCTTTGAGGATCCTGCAAGAAGGGAGAACCCAGCCCAAACTTCCCTTTCCCCCATCCCTGGATCCCCGCTCTGCTGGTGGGGACAGAGGGGACGTGTGGGATCCTGGAGCTGGAGAGCTGCTGGCTCTGTCCCCACTTGGGAGTGTCCAGCGTGGCTGGAATGCTGGAGCAGCTGTGGGGGCTTGGAGGCAGAAAAAACCCTCGTGCTCCCTGAGTGCTGCGGTGGGGAAGGCACCGGGGCTGGCCTGCTCCCCTCCATCCCTCCCTATTTCCCTTGATCCCTCTCTGGTTCCCTCCGTCCCTCCTCATTTCCCTTGATCCCTTCCCTCCATCCTTTCTCTGTCCCAACCCATTTCCCTCTGTTTTTCCCCTCCATCCCTCCCCACTTCTCTCCATCCCTCTCTGATTCCCTCCATCCCTCCTCATTTCTCTTTATCCCTTCCCTCCAGCCTTTCTCTCTGTCCCAGCCCACTTCCCTCCATCTTTTCCCTCCATCCTTTCCCTCCATCCTTTCCCTCCATCTTTCCCTCCATCTTTTCCCTCCACCTTTTCCCTCCATCTTTTCCCTCCATCTTTTCCCTCCATCCTTTCCCTCCATCCTTTCCTCCATCCTTTTCCTCCATCTTTTCTCTCCATCTTTTCCCTCCATCCTTTCCCTCCATCCTTTCCCTCCATCCTTTCCCTCCATCCTTTCCCTCCATCCTTTCCCTCCAACCTTTCCCTCCATCTTTTCCCTCCATCTTTTCCTCCATCTTTTCCCTCCATCTTTCGTTTGGGGCTGTGAAACTCCATCTCCAGCCACCCCTTACAACTCCCACCCAGCTTTTGGAACCTCCAACATCTCCTCCTCAGCTTGGGCTGCCCCGTGGAGCCGCCCTCCTTGGCTGGCACCGCTGCCCGGTGTCCAGATCCCATTTTTGCCTTTTTTTCCCCCAAGGGTTCTACAATGGGCACACGAAGGTGGCAGTGAAGAGCCTGAAGGCTGGCAGCATGTCCCCCAGCGCCTTCCTGGCCGAGGCCAACCTGATGAAGAAGCTGCAGCACCAGCGGCTGGTGCGGCTCTACGCCGTGGTCACCAAGGAGCCCATCTACATCATCACCGAGTTCATGGAGAAGGGTGAGGCCACCCCTCACCCTTTGGAGGGCTCCATCCACAGGGAAGTGGCCACGGAGCTCTGGAACTTTAAGGCTGGAAGAGATCTTTGGGATAAAGTTCATGCTGTGAAAAATCCCCACTTCAACAGACAGAGCGCTGGGGCCTGGGCATTGTCCTGACAAGGGTGGCTGGGCCTGGCGTGGTTCTTGTGGCCCAAATTGTATCCTGGGCATTGTCCTGGCAGGGGTGACCAAGCCTGGAGTGGTTCCTGTGGCCCAAAATGGGTCCTGGGCATTGCTCTGGCAGGAATGACCAACCCTGGCATGGTCCCTGCCACCCAAATTGTGTCCTGGGCA